GGATCATATAAAACAACATTTACATTACTGCTTTATACCTTTTGCCTACTTGCCAATTTTGTTGAAGAACCTCTTATTCTTGTCAAACGAAAAATGAGCCAACAAAACTTCCAGTGACAGTGACCCAGTCGTTTAACCTCAGGCTGCCAATTTCTATATTCATTCCATGTTTCACCCTTTAATATAATTACTTCTGTTTGGAATAGGCAGTGACAAAATAATTTGACCTTTATGTATTACTACCTGATTAGTTTTTCCACATGTGCTGAAAAAAAAAAAAATTTGCCAAATATTTGTATTAATATTCATTTAAAATGCTTTTGCATGTCCTTCATGTTCTTTAGGATAGATGCTATGTAACAGAAAAGTACTTCTTTCTTCTTTTGCCCTACAGTTAAGCAAATTTTAATTAGTAATTATTGAGCCTTATGTCTTTAAAAAAAAAATCAGTTTAATCTGTATGAACGTCGTCAGGTAAATATATTTAGACCAAGGAGCATTTATTGTCACTATGACTATCCTGATCACTTGTGTTGCCACCCTGGCTGAACTGAAGGAGTTTTTGACTTTTTAGTTCTATATGAACCAGACTTAAGATCACAAACAATGAGACTTGGATGCTCTGATTCAAAGAGGCATGAGATGGAGTTCATAATGCCAATTTGGTTTCCCGTTGTAGAGTTTGTTTCCTACATTGAGATTCACAATGGCCACTAAGCTAATTCTCAAGATACTTAATCAAGACAGGGAGAAAGAACAAGACCTGTGAAACTCTGGCTACGTCTGTAAACTTAGTCTTTCTCAATCTGCAAAAAGTGTCTTAAGATAACCTGCATCCATATGTCTTTCTACCATTCTTAAAGCTGGGGTCTAATGCATGAGCACTGGCCTGCCAGCATTAATGGTCAAACTTTCAGTGCCTTGGTTACCCAGCTCAACTCAGTGTTTAAACCCACAGATTTAGCTTATCTTGACTAAACATCTACCAGTATAGGATGCCACAGCCACCTGGCTGGCATCAGCCCTAAAGTAAGGTGAAGGCCTTCTGCTCTTCTAGGCCCTGGAGGATTCCATGTCCTTCCTCTGGATTTACAGGCAAATTTGAAAAACTTCTGTTTGTACATATATATACATATATATGTTTATTAATGTTAAGGGAAGTTCTGCCTCTGGAGTCTGTTAACCAATTATAAATGTAAGAGCCTTAAGTACTAGTGTAGAGAAGCTAGACAACTGAACATTCTTTCCGTGTTTTCTTTAACCTCTTTTTGCTGAGACACAAAACCTTCAGTCTGTGATCATAGAAACTACATCATCATTAGTGTAAAATCAGTAGGGTAGGTCAGTGTTCCCAAAATAAAAAAAAGGTTTTTTTTTATCTGCTTCTTGATGTCTCTTTTAACTGCTCTAAAAGAAGTTATTTATCATATGAATTTTTTTTAAACTTTAAAATATGTACAGCTATCTTTTGCCTATTATAAAGGTTTTAACACTTTTTCTTCAGTAAGAAATATATTTTAGAGAAAATTAAGTCATGAGCCACGTGATTTTTTTTAGAGTCTAGTCTTGACTGTTTCCTAGTAGATACAGCAATATGTTATTTATTTGCATGCCCTGAAGCTTGACAGCAGTTACCATCAGTCATGCTATCCATGTTTATTCTTGATGTACAAGCAGCACCTTCTGTTAACCACATAAAGGTATCAGAGTAAACCAGACATCACAGCATCTTAATAGATTTAGTCATAGCACGATTCTTAATGAAATCTTTATAATAATGTATATGTCCGATATACTTCTAAAGGAACTCTGTCATGGATGAAAGTTAGCTGAGCAGTCATTAACTGAGACAAAGGGAAGGGTCACCTTGTACCTTTGGAAGAGAATGCTTCCAGTAACTGTAGTAAGGATGTGCAAATCTGATGGAAACACTAAAACTTCAAGTATATTAGGGAGAAACTGGGCAATGGCCCCTGGGACTTTTACATTCTACTTCTCCTGCTTGTTCATTGTTTGACAAGCTTATTACCTGCAAAAATCAACATAAGACAACATATCTGATGTCAAATGGAAGAGTCATAAGAATGAATGCTTCAAATAATCCTTCTGCAAAAGTTGCTATGGCAGCTCACCACAGTATTATTGAACTACCAAGCAGCTATAAAACAATGTTTTAAGAGCTGAACAGATGAGGACCAAGTACTCAGGGAGAAATAACAGAACAGCTGACTTCAAGACTGTGCAAGTCTCAATTCATTAGTTAAGTATTAGTAAAGTATTTCACAATAGTTTAGTATATTAGAAGAAGACACTACAACCAGACAAGCTGCTTGAACAGGCAGTTATTACTACTGGTGTTCAGAGAATTCAAAATAATTCTGTTGTCTATATTTCAACTTTTTACCTGAGGACTGGATTTATTTGGACATACAAATCAGTCTGTTCACTTGGCAGACACCCTACAGCCATGACAAAGTCCAGCTAATGCACCAAAGGAGAACACCTCCTTCATAGCCTAGATATATATACATTAATCTTTACTCTTATTTAGGCATTGAGACTGGAATACAAAATTTAACCCTGTGGGTACTATGATTTGGAATAGCTGTCTCTGTCATTCTCGGTATAAGGTTTCATGTTCCTGAGGAAAACCAAGGGATAAGACAACTCCCTCCAATACTGCTAAGGTGAGACTGGCTGAATTCTGGTGGAATCCAACCAGACTCTCTTGCCAGGAGGAGCTCACATGATGAGGGTGTTGCTTTCCTGCTCATGTTACTCATTTCCTTTCCTTCAGTAAGAAAACTGCCCTATAGCCAAAAGAAGCTATAAATTAGGAGCTTCTGAAAAACATTTCTGGGTCTGAAGCCAAGAATGGTAGCTCTTACTAAAAAATTAAAAATAGAAAAATCTATAAGACAACGGTTTAAAAGAAGAGAAGGTAAACAATTCACATGTGACTGCAACATTAAGCATCTCAAGGCTGTGATTTCTCAGAAAAAAAAAGTACTAGAACAAAGCATTATTTTATTAGGTAGAAAAACTTTTCTTAAGCCAAGATGTCAATTCCCTCATTTTTGCAATGATGCATGAAAGAATTGGTCATTGTCCAAAACCAGGCAAACAGCCTCTAGCAACACAATAAAGACGTTACAACAAAGAACACTCTACGCATGGGTATGTACAGGTAGCACTTGTGATACGGGCAAGCCCTTTCAGACTGATTCAGAATGCAGACTGTTTTTCCCGTGTTTTGCCTTAAGTAATGGGCTATAACTGGGAATGGTTGATTCCTTCTGCTGTGAGATGCGGCATTCTATGAAATGAAAACATTTTCTTACTTTTTGACCAGTTTTAGTCAAGCTGCCCTCCTAGCTCAAAGAATGCGTCTGGCACGTAACTTCCCCTAATCAAAAATCAGAAGGTTCAAATTACAGTTTCCCAGGGGCTGTGCAAGTGTTAGAATGGAGAAGAAAGCTTTGATGGATCCAGCACACAACTAAGAAATGCTGTGAACTGATGCAATTAATGCCCCGTGAGATTGCGATTGGGAACTGCCACATCCACAGATTAACAATATTTGTGGCGTTGAGATGTTACAAATTCTGGACCTTTCAGAACAGGTATTTTGCTGTTTGGTCTGTTTGGCTTTTCCCAGGTGTAATGCTTTGTAGAAGCAGCAATCCTATTACAGGGTGGGAGGAATAGTTTGGAGTTGGAGTATATTTGTTCTTTGACAATTTCGATAAGGTCTATGTTCTGATTTCTCTGCCTCATCTGTACTGTCTGTACCATGTTCCTCCCTGAAAGTACAATACAGCAACAAGAACTCCAGGAGCTGAAACTGCAAAATGTTCTCTTTGAGTGGCATTAGCACTCTGCAGAACCTAGTGTGCTACACACAATGTGACAACTCTCCTCCCCATTCTGCCATCCATATTCATAAGCAAATGTAACAGTTACAAACAAACATAAGCTGTGTATATATAACAAACAACAGAAAAAAATAAATATGAAAATGAAAACAATCTCTGAAGAGATTGTTTTAATGACAGCTATTAACTAATACATCAAGGAAGAAATTCCCACTCTTGAGTAAATTACTTTGCATGGGCAAATATCACCCAAAAAAATAAACTGCTGATCAGGATGGAGATGTAAGGTTTCTAGCTTCTTTTAACTAAGTAGGTATTCCCCTATGTACAGAAAGCATTTTCATATGAGAAAGGTTTTCATATGAGATCAAACATAAGAGACTGAGAGCAAAATGCCCATGGTGCAGACTAATTCAACATGATTTTGTATAATGTTCAAACTTACAACTGATTTTTCGTTTTCTTCTGGGAAAGGGCTGTCAAAAGAAGCAGGCACTAAACAGACACATTTGCTCTTTAAGCCTGCATGTCTATTAGCACTCCTTCTTGCTGTAGATCTGAAATCAAATGCAGTATGTTTCACACCTGTAGCTATGAGACTTTTCTGATTTTGATAGCTGGAAACATCCTTTTTACTTATTCTGCAATGTCGTTATTCTTTCCCTTCTACAAGAGTGTTTTCTAGAAGCTCCTTTTTATTTTCTCTTTGCACTTTTTACTCAAGGCCACTAGACTGCAAAGTGAAGTGTCTAACTCTTTAAATAATTTAACATGAAAACACGCACATCTGGCCATCTGCTGCTACAGCTCAAGACACTCCAACGTTTCCGAAGACAGCTGTTGACTACGCAAACAGCAAACCAGGGCAAGGCGGGACCCAGAGCCTGAAACCTGCAGCAAGTATTTTGACCAAGGCAGGGCTCCTCTGAAGTGCCACCGCAGGCGTGCCAACGTTATCTCAAAAATGCAAAATAACTTTTCCTAGCAACTGTAACATGCTTGGTTATTTTGTAGCACTTGCCGTGGCTCGGTAGGTAGCCGGGCTCCCAGCCCCGGGGCTCCGGCTGCCCCCGCACCGGCGGGACGGCGCCCGGGCTCCAGCGCCCTGGCTCGCGGGTCACTCACCATGTTGACTTCGGAGACCAGGTCGATGCTGGCGATCTCTATCCGCATGCCCACGTCCACGGGCGGACCTGCGGGGGGAGCGGGAGGCGGTGTTAGCGCACCGCGGGGGGCCGGAGCGCGGGTCGGGGGAGCGCGGGCGCCTCACCTCCGAAGTCGGGGCGGAGGCGGATGTCGTAGCCCTGGAGCAGCCTGTCCACCGTCTCCTTCACGTAGGACATGTTGCTGGGCCCGTCGGCGCTGCGGGAAGGAGCACAGGCTGGGTTAGAGAGGCCGCCGGGGCGCCCCGCGCCCGCCTCCCTCCGCACGCTGGCGGCGCTCACCTGCGCGCCGCGCACGCCACGGCCAGCGCCAGCGGCAGCAGCAGCTCCCGCGGTCCCGCCCGCCCGGCCGCCGCCCCCATCCCGGCGGCCGCTCACGGGGGACGCGCCGCGCGCTGGAACTTGGCGCGGAGCGGCGAGGAGCAACAATTCCCGACGGCGGGGCGCATGCGCCGAGCGCCGCGGGCCCGGGGGCGCCCCCTGCCCCCCTGGGCCGGGCCGGGCCGGCCCTGCCGCAACAGGTGCCGCGGGAGCGCTGGGGGCGGCGAAGCCCCGGGGCTGGCGGGACACGGCGGGACTGAGAGCTCCGGGCTGCTGTGAGCGAGGGGCAGCCACTGCCGGTGCGCCCCCCTCAGCCAGCTGGAGCGGGGGCTTCCCGTCAAGAGACCGTGAATAATTGCTGAGGGCACCTCTGTGTAAAAACGCACACCGATGGGGTGTTAGCCATAACGCGAAAGGGAAATGGCAAATTCGAAAGACATGGCGCGTTTCGGTGCAGGTAGCGCTCTGTCCCGCTACGGAGGCTGGAGGTCGCGCCCGCCCCTCGGAGCGCTCGCCGCTCCCGCAGCGCGCCCGCCGTGCCCCGAGCGGGAGGTCGTCTCAGATTTTTAGTTGTGATTTCACAACCAAAGTAATTGATCTTGCGTTTAGAACGAGGTTGGTTGATTGGTTGATTGATTGATTGATTTTAAGACTCTTGGAAGGGATGCTCTAATGTAACCTCACCTCTCGTGAGCAATATTACACGGTGACTGATCGGAGCCCTGGGAACCTGTGAACAATTTATGGCTTCGCCGGTTCCGTGCCGCTCTGTTTCACTGCACTGTAGCTCAGCAGAAATAACATTCATCCCTTTAGGATTCAACCCACTTCACTTGTGTGCTACACATCCTGCGTGTGGTGACCTTGGGATACGTATTGGATGCTTTTGAGGCTACTACAGCGTCATGCAGACCTGTTTCTGAGAAATGGCAGACTTTTGATGAAACTTTTTGTCACTGAAATATGCCAAATATCGAAAAATGCAGGAGTATTGACTAGTTTGTGACACACATACTAGTGATAATTTTGAACATTTTAACAATGCATTTTTCTGTGCAAATTTGTTGTTCTTGGAGAAGGACCACAACACCCTTCCTAAGAGGTTACCATGGGAGTCTTTCACATCTGCTTTCTCTAACCATGACAGTACAAGGTTATGAAAATAATTATTTTTCTGATGTTTTATAACAGTATAATAAAGATTTTCAATTTTCTTTGAGAAGTATTACATATATTTCTTTTCCTCCTAGTTCAGTAATTAGTTGCTGCAAAATGTGACCTCTCAGCTCAACTTGATCGTACCTTAGCATTGCTATTTGGAAAGAGTTTTGTTCAATTACAATTGGTGTGGCTTGCATAGAGCACTTAAAAAAGAAATCCTGCCATAGATGTCTATCACAAAGTAAATTTATTCAGAGTTGTATCACACACAGCCATAATAAAGTTCCCTGGTTCATCTGAAGCACTGAATTAGGATTTTCCATGGGACTATAGAGTCCCTTGTACTTCTTCGTGGTGTGCAGCATTATATTTAGCTTTGTCATAAGCCATATGAAAGTCAAATATACCTGTGTGAAAGGGAGACCACTGCTCTCTCCCGCTTGCCAAAATTTGTTCTAAGGCATAAGTGCAGGCATTTATTCTATATGAATTCTTCATTTGCTGCACATTTTGGGGCAACTTTAGTTCAGATGAGCTGTAGTCTGGCCGCTGGACTACTGGTACATTAATGCTTGAACTGTTTTAGGTGCTTTTCTGGAGCTTATCATCTGGTCTGAGAAGGCATGACCAATGCCTGTCCTGCAGGTCTCCTGCCATTAGGGGCACCTCAGCCCAACAAATATATTTCCAAGGAGGATAAGGATGTTCTCCTTGGCAAGTCAGTTTCTCTGAAAGCTCTCCCAACTGAGCTGTCCTGGCTTCTGCAGACCAATCTGGAACTTCCTCCACCAAACATCCCAAAAATAAGACCCAAAGCTGGCATACTGTAGAAATTCAACTCCATTTTGTTCAACTTGATTGCTGGGGACATCTGGGCTCAAAACTGGGGTCTTGAAACAGCTGCAAATATCCTGCTGTGTGGAGACAATACTGAAAAGCTCCCTCACTAATTGGGGCTTGGGAATAAAGAGGTTTATATGGTGCTTTTAATAATCACACGAAGGAGGACCTGCATAGCATTACACTGCCACAGCAGGCATGGTGAGAAGGGTTCTTTTTGTCCCGTGGGGTGGATGATGGAAACATGTCTGGGACCTTTTTTCCATTGCTTTCAGGACTAAAAAAGATGAATTATTATCAGCAGGACTTCCATTGTGATGTGTTACCAGCTGAAGTGGTAAATGGTTTAAGAACTTGAAATTCTGCTTTCTTTGCAGATGATCTGTTTCTAGGAGAATATAGTATGCTTTTCCAGGCCACCAATGTGGAAGAATTTTGTTATAATTTTGATAAAAACACACCTTGTGACATAATTCTTGCTTTTGGCAGCTCTTTAATAACCCCTTATATGAAGAACAGTTGGCATCCAAAATGAATGACTATGGGGAAGAGGCTAATTCTCAAAGCCCAGATATTATCAGTATTGTTCACAAACATTTTTTAAAAGCTTATACAGATGCCAAGACACCTGGTGATCGGATTTGCACATGTGGTTCAAACTGCAGCTGCTTCTGCAGTTGATAAACTTGATTCAAAACACAGTAGTGTCTTTCCATCCACTCCAGTGGGGTTTGCTCACTTAGTCAGGCTGAGTGAAACCTGATGGGTACCCAGCATGGCTTTTGGGAATCTTGGAATTTGCTGAGCACCGCAGAATGTAGGCACTTAAGTAGATGTGCTAATTTTCAATTTGGGAAATCAGGCTGCTTAGTGTCTAAAGTCCGAGGAGGTTAATCTGGAGACTTTTGCCACATTTTTAAATGTCTCTCACCTCTGAGATAAGTAGTTGTAAATCTATGTTTTCTAATAAGATTGGAGATAACATGTAGTCTACCAAGATTGCTATACCAAAAAAAGTGCATGTCCCCTGCATGGAAGCATCTGTCTTGACAGAACCATTAAGTATTTCTATCACTACTACCTTTCCTGTCCACTGCAACTGTCAGTGAAATGAGCTCCTATGGCAGAGTTGTCACCCTGACCCATGTGTGCTATATGGTGACACCAACAGTGTGCTGAGGTGTGACACAGCCAGCTCACAGCCTGTAGGAGCTGTAACACAGCTCTACCAAACCCAATTTGGTTTTCAAACTTCTGTGCTGGCTTCAATTTCAGCTCTTATGATCTTTTCTTATGGTTATTTTCTCATGGTTATTTTCTCATATTTGTATTCAATAAGCTCTTTTCTTGAAACCTTTGCTAATGATAGTGCCAAATTCCTTTCCCAATAATTTCTACTGTAGTTTAGTATATATAGGGTCTGTGAAATAGACACACAACTTGTGAATAAGATTTTTAAAAAATATTTTCTGGTCTGTGTTAGTGAAGGCAGACCTTTTAGGTGGGAAATAGTTTCATATTTGTTAAACGTATATAAGCACTAGTAAACTAAAACAATTGAAATCCACTAGTTCTAACATATTAGTCCTGTCTTTTTTTTCATATTCTAGGCATGTCTAATGCCTACTAGAATCAAGACAAATAAAAATATAATCATAAAGAGTGATGCATAAACCATCCCAGGCCAGCTGCATGTTCATTTTTACCTTCATTATGCATAAACTTTCATGGGGGTAATCTTTTTTCTTACACAAATGAATGTTTTCAGTTTATTGAAGACCTTTTTTGCAATGCTTATTTTATTTTGGAACCAGAAAGTGCACACAGTACAAAGATAATGTCCTGCTCAGACAGTGTCGGCTAATTTAAAAAAATGCAACATCACCGAAAAAAAAGGAATTTCTTCCTGTGTCCCACTGGATAAGATCTGTAGGCAGGAAGACCACAAGTTTTACTGAAACTAGGGGAAGAAAAATGCAAAAGTAGTGGCTATGCAATCTCTCTCTAGTGATACTTTGTACCTTCTTAAATGTAGAATGAAGGTAGGTATATCTTTGTGCTTATACGCAAAAAAGTAAAGGCGAGCTGTGTGCCTCATACTGTGCACTTTGTATGTGGAGATGATGATTGAAAATGTTAATATTCGTAATACTGACAAGTTTTGCGTCATTGCAAATAGGGACTTGCAGACCCAGGATATTCCTAATATGTGTCCAGCTGGAATTGCAGTTTTTCAGTCAGTGGAAAAAACTATTGCGGCAACAGGTACACCAGGCACAGGCCAGAAGCAGGACTGGTATGAAGTGTGAAAGCATAATTAATTAGGAAAACTTTATTACAGTATGACAGCATGCACAGAAAACAGATCAGGAAACCAAACTCAGGATCTTTAGATTATTCCTTGTCAGATATCTGTACCCCAGTGGTTGCTTGGCTGCGTGGATTTTCATACTGCATATGCAGCTAGAAGAATAATGAGAATTAGAATGGGTATACGTTTTTTTCTTACTTGGCATTGAGCAGGTGACATTTGTCAGTAACTATACCAATAAGATATATTCAAATTTTAGATCAAATTTGGAAAAATTAAGCTAAATGGTTGGGTTTGAAAACTATGAAACGAAACCTAGGAACTGTGAAATGACTACCTGAGGAAGTAAAAAAAAAACCCTGTTTAAATTTATACTTTAAGAGGCAGGTAATGAAATAGGTCATTTATTTAATCTGCTTAATGCTATCGTAATTTTATACCTACAGTAATTCGTTTAGTCAAATAGAGCTTGTGAGCCATCTTCTCAAATGACAGAAACCTGCAAGCTGGAGATACTTTTAGTGTGCCTTGGGAATTTCAGTGCAGCAGCAAAGCTGTGGAAGCAATTGAGAAGAGCTGAGGAGTGACACATTGATCCTGAGCTGTATCCTGGGATCTATAGACACTGTGATGCTGCCCCACACGGAGGAGAGCACCTCAGGCTCTCACCCATTTCCCTTTCCTTTGGGTCTCACAGTAAGCTTCCACACTCTTGCCCTTCTCTCAGGAAAAAAAAAAAAGGTACATATCGTCATTGTGCCCCCCCCTCCTTTTTTTAATATACTGTAAAGATTAATTAAGATCTTCCTAGAGCAGGGTCTACCCTCTTTTAAGAGCCTATAAAATACTTAGGACAGTTCTTTTAAGAAATTAATA